AGAAACAGTTCAAAAGGTCGATCAGTGTGGGTAACTTCGTCGACGATATCTTTATTGCCTCGAAGTCTGCAAGTTTCTTTCTCGACGGCACTCGTACACTGCGCGAGAGATGGCGCAAGGTCGTGGAAAACGATGGACAGTTTATACAAGAGTAATTTCGTGGTTCTAAAAAATCTGTACACCTAATAGAGAGGATTATGCAATAGACAGACGGCAACAAAGGAGTCTTTACCGCATCGACGGCATCCTTGTACAGCGTCCACGCGGCCTTGGGAGAGAGCAGAAGCAGAAGCCGCGCCATCGCCTCCTGTTGCGAGATGCGTCCTTCGGAGAGTTCGTTGCGAATGAATTCGGCAGTTTGCAGTGGGATCATGCAATCGATTCTGGGGGCCTAAAAGATCGTCAACACCCAGAATCAAGACTGGCATAATCGACGGTAAGCCCGCTAAGCCCGCCCAACAAGACAGCCAAAGAAGACCCACCTCCGTTGCGAGGGCTGTGAGGTCGTTGGCGAGGAAGTGACGGGCGACGTGGCGGGCGGCGTTGCGACCCGAGGCCTTGGCAAGCAGGTTGGTTCGCAGCCTCAGGCTCGAACCCAGCCAGGGCTCGTAGGCGCACCGGTAGTCGGGCAGGCCGAGGTTGGGCTCAACGCAGGCGCCGAGCGCACGCAGGACCGACACGGCGTCGCGGTGGCGCTTCTTCGGTGGCAGGATGTCCGCCGCCACGGCCTCCACCGACGACGACGAGAATCCGCGTCGAAGCAGCGGCGACAGGGTGCGCAGTTTGTGCAGCATCTGGGAAGAAATGCTCAGGACCTAGGCAAGGCAAGCACTAGAAAGGCATGCTGGTGCTTCCTGGACACAAACAAGGATTTTTCGAGAATTGAAATGGTGCGACGATGGAAGCATCCAAAACTAGCCGACTCTAACCACAGTGGTGGTGGTGGTGGTGGTGTTGGCGGTGGTGGTGAATTCAAATCATGCAAAATATGGTTAATCAAACCTCCATACAAGAAACCTAACTGACGAGTTATCAGCAATGCCGTCAGTAAGCACAACTCAAGCGCACAAACACAATACTAAAGAAGCACTGCCACAGGCGATGCCGGAAGTAAAAAATGATCAAACGAAAATATTAGCATTATTTCGTACATAAGGCGGTTCAAGGCAGCAATATTACAGAGTGAAATACATAAGGTACATATGTGTCTGCGAAAACCTGCACACATAACACGGGAAAAAAGGAACAAGAAGAGACAAACATAGAGCCTAGTAGACGGGTTCACGTGGTAAAGCGGGGGAAGACGTGGAAAAGTGAGATGCTGCTGCGATTTGGAGCTGATACTACCGGAGAGACATCAGTCTAGGGCGCTTCTTTGAAGATGCATCAGGGAGAACGA